TGTCTCTCTCTGTCAAATAAATAAATAAAATCTTAAAAAAATAAATAAATAAAAATAAAATCTTAAAAAAAAAAGTTGGGGAAATAAAAATGTATATGTATATATTTCCTTATTTTTGCAAAAAGAAAGGGAAGATAAAAAACTAATGAATTATAACTGCCTGTAGGGGTAGGCAGATGGGATGTAAGGAACAGAGATGTAAGCAAGACTTCTCTTGTAACTTTATTAGTTTTAACTTTTGAGCTATGTAAATATATATTCTAAACATAAAACTAAAAAAACGAAAGAAAATGTTAACACTGAATACAGAAAGAAATGAATCTTACTATATACGGGATAGATAACACAGCCATGCTAATATTAATTCAAATAATTTTTAAATACTAAGATTATATATCCTTAATAGAATGTATCTTAAGTTTAAAAGAAGTAGAAAGATATTTTGAACTTTACTTAATAGGTTTATTGTTGGCAGTGTTACTGGTTACTGTGTTTCTGAAACTATTTTGTGTTTACTGCACAAGAGTATAAACAATAAATTGATGTTGAGAACCAAGGTTTTTACTGTGGGATAAGGGAAAAAACTGTATGAATGAGGGAATTAAGGTTCTGGGTTCTCATCTGAATTGAGAAATCCTTATGAATTCATCATTTCATTTTTTTCCTAGCTCTATAAAAGGCCCAGAAGTAATGATACTCCAGTAGTCATGAGCACACCTGACACTTAGTTCTGGAGAGAACTGAAATACCATTTCCCACTCAAAGAAACCAGGGCTTCTTGCAGACATGGCTGGCTCCAGCTCTGGAACAGGGAAAGTAAAATGTGATATGGAGACATCTCTTTTGTTTGATTAAACCTGTTGCAACCTATTGATGAAAGTATTCAATGTTACATGAAAATAATTTCAGGAGGCATATTTCCATGACTAAGAATATGTGGGTGTGGGTGTGTCTCATATCTCACGGACAGTCTTACGAACAATCACACAGACAATGTGTTTACAAACAGACCCCCAATGTTTTTCAATCTACAAAAACTCATGTGGAGAACCACTCTTTTTCAGAGTCTGCAGACTGTCTTATCCATTGATGTGCTTGCAGTGCATCCTTTATTTGTCCCCCCTCCTCCAACTCCAGACCTCAGTAATGGTTTTCTTTGATAACCAAGGCAATAGATTTCTTAAATGAGGGGATCAGAAATTCTAATTCTCCAGTCACCTGGGTAGCTAATGCTTTAATCTGCATAAAAACTGTGTTAAAATTCACTTCACATAGGCAGGAGGAAAAAAGGAGATGACATCAGAGGTGCTTTGCTAAAGATCAGAGGAACTGCAGCTGTGGCCTCCCCATTCATCAGGTGGCACATTTATCCAGTTCTGCCACTTCTGTGATAAGAGTAGACTTTATAAAGATGGCTCCCTTACAAGGTTTAGAACAGTCAACAAAAGCTGTCAGACTGACTTTTGAGAGATGGGACTTAGGTCACTAGAAAATTCTTGAAGGTTATATTCAATCAAATCCTACTGAAAAATCTGCTTCCTACTTTTTTTACTAAAGGGTTCTTGGTGGGTATTGTCCCTATCGCTAATGTATTTTTTCCCCCCCAAATTGGCAAATAGACCAGATCAACTGGACATCAAATACTTGAGGACTTAAGTATATTTTAACCTTCTGTTTATGGAACTTTTGCTTAATGATGAATCTTCTTGTTAATATTTAAAACAATTGGGTTTTACTGACTTTATAAAAATGGAAATTGGAAAGTATCTGTCATCAGTAAACTAAATGTTTTATTCAAATTCTAGTATAATTTATTTTTGTGAAAAGGTTATTTACTAAGTCATTTTTAAAAAGACTTATTTTAGATAGAGACACACACAGAAACAGAGACAGAGTGGGGAGGGGCAGAGGTAGGGGGAGAGAGAGCCTTAAGCAGACTCCATGGTGAGTGCAGACCCCGACATGGGGCTCGAGTTCATGGCTCTGAGATCATGACCTGAGCTGAAACTAAGAGTCGGATGCTCAACCAACTGAGCCACCCAGGCGCCCCTGCTGTTGTTTCTTGATCTGAAAGCTGCTTAAATGATTTGTTCAGTTTGTAATAGTACACCACATTGCACACAGATGATATGCACACTTTTCTTTTTTTTTACTTTAATAAAAAGCTTAAAATAGGGGAGCTTGGGTGGCTCAGTCAGTTAAGCATCTGCCTTTAGCTCAGGTCATGATCCCAGGGTCCTGGGATTGAGCCCCACATTGGGCTTCCTGCTCAGTGGGGAGTCTGCTTGTCCTTCTCCCTCTCCCCTTGCCCCTTCTTCCTGCTTGTGTCTGTCTCTCTCTCAAATAAATAAATAAAATCTTTTTTTTTTTTTAAAAGCTTAAAATATATGGCTGTTTATGGCAGATGGGTGGTAATTAACTACCAAGGGCCGAATGTTCTTAATCTGCAAATTAGGTATAGATCTAATATCCATGATTCTGTGATAACTAATAAACTAGTACTATGATTCCCAAGCCTTTGAGATAGATCTTTAATGTGTGATGGGGGAAATTCAATATTGTCAAGAATACTCTCTGAAGAATTAGTAATGTAATGTTTATTATCTTTTGGCATCATGAACAAATTATAGGAGACACATCATATTTCCAACAAGAACATTTTAAGAAGATTACCCAGAAATTAGTTGGGTTTATAAATTAAATTTACAAATCAATAGCATACTAGGAAAAAGGGAACGAAAAGGGGGCATGGATACCCAGTTCTTCATCTTCTCTTTCTCATTCACCTGCTAATCTACTCCCCTCTTTGTAGATATTTACTACATGTTGGATAAATATTCAGTGCCTTCTATGTGCCAGGGACTGAGGATCTGAAGATGAATCTGGCATCTGCCATGTATCAGAGAATAGCTAACTTATCATCAAACCTCCTTCCTCTTTTTCCTGGGCATGAAGTTCAACTCTTCTTCCCAGCCTGGGGTAGCCTATGACTGAATTTACAGCCAATGCAACAGAAGGTCTGGTCTGTGAAAGCCTCCCGTGAAAGATCCCTTCCATGCTCCCTCTCTGCCACCCACTGGACTGACTGAAGTGAACAAAGTGACCTTGAAACCAACTATTGAGGATGGTAGAATCACAAGATGGAAGGTGTCTGAAACATTATTTGCAGCAGGGCCACTTGATAGTCAGGAACCTTTCCTGGATGTTATGTAACTGGGAGGAAAACTTATTTCATGTATGAACCATTATACATTTTGGGGTCGGTTTACTACAGCAACTGGCATTAACTAATACTGTGAACCTAAGGGGTTGATTACCTTTTATGGAGATACCTACTTACAGACTTAAGATTACAATACAATTTATTAAGTGCTATGATAAAATAATAAAAGTTATACGAAAGTTAGAGGAGGAAAGGGGTGCCTGGGTCCTGGGATCAAGCCCCGCATCAGGCTCCCTGCTCACTGGGGAATCTGCTTCTCCCTCTCCCTCTGCCTCTCCCCCTTGGCTTGTCCTCCCTCCCTCCCTCGCACTCGTTCACGCTCTAATAAATAAATAAATAAAATCTTAAAAAAAAAAAAAAAAGCAGAGGAGGGAGCAGTTAATTCTGCCTGGAAAGGGTTCTTGAGGTAAGTAACATGTGAACTGAAGTCTGAAGAATGAATAGGTAAGAATTTATGAAGGAGACAGTAGGGGGAAAGCCGTGATGCCTACCTGGTAAAGGGGGGGGGGGGGCATGAGGGAAGGCATGAACATACATAACGTGTCCAGGTATTTGGATATGGCTAATTGTGTTTACAATGGCAGTGGTAGGAAATTGGACCAGAAAAGCGGTTTGGGGCCAGATAGCAACATGGTAAGGAGAATAAACATGATCTTGTGTGCAGTAAGAGTTATTCAAGGTTTCAAGTGACACGGGGTATGAACTGGAAAGGGAAGCCTGGAGACAGGAATATTAAACAAGAAGTAATGGTAGTGGACATGAAGAAAAAGGGACAGTATGGACCAGTATTTTTAAGGTAAAATCTAACACAATTAGATGTGGTGGGCAGGAAAAGGGGGAGTGATAAAGGTGAAGTGGAACCAGCTTCTATCTTAGAAGAAAAAATAAAATCTTACGTGCTGAGAGCAGTAGGTGTTCTGAAGTCAGAAAGCAAGTAGATTATGGGGGACAGAGGAGAAACCTAAATAGTTCAGTTTTAAAATTACTGAGTTTGAAACAACTTTTCGACCTCACTTAGGTCATGGGAGATTAGGGGTCTGGCCTAAAATGTATTTACTTTAGGTCATCTTTTGGAATTGAGAGCATGAGAAAGTCCTGAATTTAACTGATGAGTAGAGCCCTAAACCATCCTAACAGGAAATGCTAATTTATTTTTTAATTTAAATTTTATTTAAAAAATGGTAATCATATAATTCAAACAAATAATTTTAAAAGGGTAGAGTGAAAAGTCTTTCTTTTCTCCTATTTCTCAAGCAACCTGGTTTTTCTTTCCAGAGTAACCATGTTATCAGATCTTTTATATCCTTCCTGAGATATTCCTCACTCATATAAGCAAATATTCAAAAATCTTCCTTTACTCCCTTTTTATAAGACACATACATAACCTCCCCCTGCCCTTCCCTAGCTAAAGGACATTTACTGACCTGAGAGTGGCACCTTCAGTTTTAATCACATCTCCATCTTCCAAATAAACATATTGTTGCTTTCCATCTCCTATAATTTCTTCTCTCGGAGGATTCCGTGGGAGTTTTTTAATGCAATATGCAGTGTCTAGTAACAAAACATGTAAAATATATTAAGTCATACTTTAAGTGATAATTCAGCCTTTTAAGAGATCAACTTTCCTAATCTTTTTCTCGTATTTGGTTTTTACAGTAATTTATTAAGCCCTTTCTCTACCCCATTAATTTATTTCAGCCATTTTTATTCTGTCCTGTTTCAAACTCCTTGCTTTTGTAACACTGTAGCTCGATTCATGATTTTGTTCCTCTAAGTCTGCAGTCTACCTATTTGTTCAATTTTGCACTTTTGTCATTTCATATTTAATATCTGATTTCATTAAAAGTTGACTCTCTTTAAATTTTTCTATGGAAACAAAAAAAATAAGAGATCAACTTTCATAGAGCTAACATTGTGAATGACTGCAAAAAATATTAACATTAAGAGACAAGAGAAAATGGGATGGGTTACAGCAGCCTATCTCTGGAATTTGAACTATTTTTTCTACCTCAACAAAAGAGCTTTTTATTCTCTCATGCACTTCTAGGTCTACACCTTTTTGTTCTAGTCACTCTTATTTTATATAAAAGTTTGAAAGTAGTTCATCATAATCTCGGCTAGCTTTGATATCAAGATGGGTGTTGAAGAGGCAGCAATACAGAACCGGAGAACGTTTTTCTTTCTAGTCTTAGCAGATAGTAAAAGAAGTCATGGCATCATGGCAGTACTTAGTAATAAAAGGATGATAGCATAATGCTCTTTCTGTGAATGCTGAAAGGAAGCCCCAAACCCAGGACAAAGATATTAAACCATTAAAATAAATTTAACCCATACTACCTCTCACTGACACAAAGAAAATCAATTAACCAATCAATAGCTGGGTGCCAAATATACTATATACAGTGAATACAAGCATGGTGACATTAAAGTGCTTAAAAACTATCACAGTTGGGGAAATAAAACTTACAAATAAATAAATACAGAACTATACTCAGAACCATTTAATGAATACTAAATGGGCAATTCAGCTAATAAAAGCCACAGCAGTTTAGAGAAAGGAAAACAATTAGGAAAAAATTCACAAATATGACAGAACTTGAAGTGTGGCTTACAAGATGAGTGGTTTGGGAAATGGTACAGAGAATGATTTGTAGGTAAGGGGAACAGCATTAGGAAAAGCATAGAAATGACAATGAGCGTGGCATACGTGCAACAAAGTATGCTACCAATTTGTCCAATGCAAAACACTGGCTGAGACGTGGAGATAAAGTGGGATTAGATGAGCTCAGATCATGGAAGGCCTTAAATTGCCTTTCATAGAATAGAGGAATTTATTTATTTATTTTTAAAGATTTTATTTATTTATTTGACAGAGAGAGACACAGCGAGAGAGGGAACACAAGCAGGGGGAGTGGGAGAGGGAGAAGCAGGCTTCCGGCGGAGCAGGGAGCCCGATGCAGGGCTCGATCCCAGGACCCTGAGATCATGACCTGAGCTGAAGGCAGATGCTTAACCAACTGAGCCACCCAGGTGCCCTGGAATAGAGGAATTTAAACTCTACCATATGTGCACCATTATACACTCTTTAGAAAGAAAATGAAATAGTGTTAACTAGTTGATCAATATGGCAGCTCTAGGTGGGATACTGGAGGGCGAGAGATCAGAAACACCAGGAGGGGGTGACTAATAACTCAGCCGGAAGGATGTGAATATTAGAACTAAGATGACAGCAACGGAAATATGGGAGAAAAAGACATTCAGAGAAAAACTGACAAGGCACAGAAGTCAGGCTAGTATGGAAGATAAAGGAGACAGAAATATTGCAAATATAATAAAAATAAAATAAAACAACTGGGACTAGACCTTCTCTCTCCAGCCCCAAACTCCATTATTTTGTATCTTAGAGGCTGGAGCAAAAAATAATATGCTATTCTGGGAACTGGCATTACATAATAAGGCTGTCTTCATTCTGGAGTGAGATGGGGAGGTTTTTTGGTATGTGTTTATTTTTAATCTGTATAATTTTTCTTTCAGTAAAGAAGTTAGAGGTATTATATTTCTAGTTATGAGACCTCCGGCACACACTCCTCCCAAAAAACTCACCATTATCTCAAAATTACAAAACAAATGTTATACTATAAAATAACCTGTGTCAGTTTTTAAAGTTATGTGCGAATACGAAAACACATATCCTACTCACAATAACAGTCTGTACAGGCAGGAGGGAGAAGGGCATGCTGAAAGCAATCATATAATAATCATTATTATGTTTAATAAAAGCTTATGGAGATATAACTCAACAGTATAAAATTCACCCTTTCAAAGAGTACAATTCAGTGTTTTTAAAGTATATCCAAAGAACTGTATAACTATCACCACTATCTAATTTTGTAACATTTTCAAACCCCTCAAAGAAACCCTTTACCCAACTGTAGTTACTCCCTCTTCTCTCCTCCTACCAGCCTCTGGCAATCACTTATCTACTTTGTCTCTATCATATGATTATTTTAACAGGAGGAAACCCTCAGTCACTTGTTAAAGGTTTGAATAATGGCTTATAACATTATTCTTAATGCTAATTATTTATTTTTTTTTTTTAAAGATTTTATTTATTTATTTGAGACAGAGAGAATGAGAGACAGAGAGCATGAGAGGGAGGAGGAACAGAGGGAGAAGCAGACTCCCTGCCGAGCAGGGAGCCTCTTAATGCTAATTATTGAAGCTGATATAAACATGTGATATTGCTTATAATACTTTCTTTCTTTTTTTTTTTATTGAGAGAGAGAGAGAGAATGATAGAGAGCATGAGAGGGAGGAAGGTCAGAGGGAGAAGGAGACTCCCTGCTGAGCAAGGAGCCTGACGTGGGACTGGATCCCGGGACTCCAGGATCATGACCTGAGCCGAAGGCAGTCGCTTAACCAACTGAGCCACCCAGGCACCCTGCTTATACTACTTTCTAATGAAAACACAATCTAATTGAATGGCATAGAAGCAAACATTTGACCGGAATGTGAAATACATGGCAAAGATCCAACTTCAGCTGCAAAATAACAACTATCATGATCACAAAAATGTATTTTGTAAGATTTACTCAAAAACAAACCAAAAACACTGGGGGCAGCCTGGGGCTATATAGTTCTCATGTCTAGTAAAATTCTGGCTTCCTGCCAGCCACTGGGAGTTCTGGAATTATACACTGATTATATCTTAAACTTTTGAAAGTAGGTTGCTGTATCTTCTCATAGAAATCTTATAACTGGCATTCATAATTTTGGTGTTGCCTGTAAAACCACAAGTTGTTAGCATCATAAAGCAGTTGAAAAGTTTCTGCCATACTAATAATTAAGTAGTAAAACGATCTGGAGCAAAGAAAATAATAAAACAAAATGGAACAAGAATGCTAGCGATTAAGGATTTAGAGAATGAAGAAGTACATGGACTCTTGGGAGATTCTGAAAGGTAACCTCTGCACGATTTCAGTGCTGAGCAACTCAAGGTCTGTATGCAGCTGGTCTAGCTTCAATAAAGTTCAGATTGAAAGTCAACAAGCTACTTCTCAAAGTATTAAAATTTTAGTGGCTACAGAGCAGGGTCAAATTTCTCCTTGACTTTCTTTAAATCAACCTAATAGGTAATCTATTATACAAATATTCATTATTTTGTATGGAACCCAAACGATTTAAATTTTTTAAAAAAGATTTTATTTTAGAGAGAGAGAGAAGGAGAAAGAAAGAGAGAGAGAGAGAGAGTGAGCAGGGGGAGGAGCAGAGGGAGGAGGAGAGAATCTAAAGCCGACTCCTCCCTGAGCGTGGAGCCTGATGCAGGGCTCGATCTCATGACCCTGAGATCATGACCTGAGCTGAAATCAAGAGTCGGACGCTTAACCAATTGAGCCACTCAGGTGCCCCTAATTTTTAATTTAAATATATAGCTTAAGTGTCCATTAACAGGTGAATGGTTAAACAAATCTTGGTATAGTCCTGCCATGGATTACCACTTGGCAATAAAGGAACAAACTATTGTTACTGAAACATAGGTGATCTCAAAAACATGATGCTGTGTGAAAGAAGCTAGAGAGTGATTCTGTATGCTTCCATTATGTGGCAAGGCAAAATTAATCTATAGTAAAATAAAGCAGATCAGTGGTTGCTAGAGAGGGATGATTGCAGAGAGGCACCAGGAGACCTCTTTTTGGGGTCATGAGAGTATTCTTTATGTTGACTGGATCTGTCAAAAGGTGTTTATCAAACTATACTCTTAAAATGGGTACATTTTATGTATGTCAATTCAAGCTCAATAAAGTTGATTTATGAAGGAGAAAAAGTAGGCCATAAACATTTAAAATGTTTAACATTAAATTAAAACTCATGCTAAAAGAGTTGGCCAAAGCTAGTCAAGAACCTTCAGCATAGTTTTTTAATTCACAGAATTTACTGGTAGATAGACAAGAGAAAGGTGAGGAAAAGTTAGACTGAAAGATAATGATTTCCTGTGGCATATAGTCCTCTAGGATTGTAAGAAAGGAGGTTAAGAGGGTAACAAAGTGAGGTTAGAGCGTTTTTCATAATGGGCAGCCTGGTGATATTGGGTGCTTTGGTTGATAACACTTTGGTGTCCCAACTGTAGTCTCAAGTCCTAAAAGGAAGACATTTAAAAATATTTAAAAACATGAGCTGAATGCGTATGTATGTTCCTTTTGTGAATGAACGTTCCTGACTTCCTGTCCTTCATATGCCCCGAACTTGCCAAGCACAGCCCGATTCCAGTATCTCTACTCCTGCAATGTCTTCTGTCTGGTATAGCCTCCTCTCGGATACCTGTATAGCTTACTCTCTTCTCCCTATCCACCCTAGATACAAGCCGCTGCCCTTCCCCCACTTTATTTTCTCTCCCCTTTTTCTTCACTTAGCTTTATTTTTCTTCATAGCACCTATCACCATCTGACCTACTACGTACTTACCACTTACCTTCCCTACTAGAAAGCACGCTTTATGAGAGCAGAATCTTTGTTTTGTGCACTGCCACATCCCTTGTGCCAAGAACAGTGCCTGGACAGAGTGGTCACTTGAGTATTTGTTGAAGGAAGGAAGGAATGAATGAATCTATGTGTGTGATGGTAATATGGGGGTATAAGGAGAGAGGCGGTAAGGTGTCAGTACTGAATAGGTTTCAGGGACGGAGAATTATCAATACAATGATCTTTCACCAGCATTTTAGTGTATCATAGTAATTGCCTTAAAGTTATGGAAGACCTAAGATCATGTTTAGAGTGTGGACAGTAACAGCAGCTACCTCACAGTACCCGTGTAGAGTGTTTAGCACAGTGCCTGGCACACAGTAAATGCTCAAGAGTGGTTAGTTATTATTAACTCGGAAGTAGCAATCATCACTACTACTACTACTGCAGACAAAATTCAAACTGACCTTCACCCCTGGCAAAGGGAAAAATAAGAGGGATAAGAGATCTGAAATAGAAAATAGGACTTTTCCTTTCCTCTTTTGTTAAAATTGGGGGCAGTATTAAAAGTATATTAATTTCTAAAAGTACCATGTAAGTATATAAGGTATTCAGTAAATGACTGACTAGCTTACTTACTTCTGTAACAGAAAAAAATTATTCTGAAAACACAGTTTTCCTCAAAGAGCTTAATTAATGTTTTCTGTTTACCATTACTGATGCTTTTACAAATATCTCCTATGCCCCCAGTATGATCAGGGTGCCAATGAGTCACTATGATTTCCTGGATTGCTGCGTTAAATTCAGTCAGAGCCTGCTTTAAACAGCTGATATATTCTGGAATTGCTGGTTCTCCAGTGTCAATGAGGATTCTCCTGAAAATTAAATGGATGATAATCACACAATTGGAACACAGAATTAATAGTAGCATATTTCTCACACAGATAATTCATATTATATTTAAGAAACTGCATAAATTGCTTGGCTTTCAACCTGCTTGAAAACCAGCTATATGATATTTCACCTTAATATATTTCACTATAGTAATCTCACTAAGAAAAGTTTTTTGAAAAAATCTTATAGCTCCATGTAAGTCTGAACTTGGCAAATTCAAGGCACAATAATATTGAATACTTATACAGCACTCAAATATGGCACTATTCCAAGGACCTTATGTATTTTAACAATTGTGTTCCTCATCACAACTATTTAAACGAGGTATTTCATTGTACAACTTGCCCAAGGTTACTCTGCAAATAAACGGCAAGACCAGAATTCAAACCTGGGTATTCTGTCTCTAGAATATGTGTTTTTATCCACTCTGCCTCTGAGATCTTTTACAACATACTCAAATGTCTCATAGATATGAAAGAATTAGATTCAGTGGTATTCCTAAAGAAACCTAGTCTTCTGCGCTACATACAAAACTTATTACTAACGTTTTACATTGGCTTCCGTCCACATGAAAATGAAAGGAGTAGGGAAGCATGGGGAAATGTCTGAATTGCTTTATTTCTTCACCTAGACAACCCATTAGTTATATTTTTCTGCTTGTGGTTCTGAACCTTCTTTATACTTTGTATGCCCTTCCTCACTATTTCACAGGATGATGGTCTTTCTCTATAAAGTTTTCCTGAACTAAAAAAGAAGGGGGACATCTTCCTCCTCAAGAACCAACTCACAAACTTTTTAATTCAGGCTGCTTCACAATAACATCTCCCTAATTCAGGTTGGGGGAGGGAAGATTAGTCTTGATGAAAAGTCTCAGTCATTCACTCATTAGTACATTAATAACTGTATGAATTATCTACTATGTGCCATGTCTTTCTTGCAAGACAAAAAAAATCCTGTTTGCATTCTAGTGGAAAGTGGGAAGAGGGACCTATGAAAACCAACAGTAATAGTGACAGATAAACGGCATTCTGCAGAACATTCAAATGGGGTAAATATGACCCGAAGTATCTGGATGGCTATTTTATATTGGATGGTTTGTTTCCCTAACTCTATTCCCTGAGACGCACAGCCAATAAAAACAAATTGTCCTGTCATGGGGGAGGGGGTGGGGTGGAGAGGTGGGGACAATGGCCTTGTGGTCCATAGGCTTTTATCTACACCTTAAGTTCCACAGAGCAATGGCTCTACAAGTACACAGAGTTATAACTGTCCCTTCTGGAGACAGGGAAACTAGATGGATATACTGGCCCATGAATGCATTATGAGGTTCTGTAGGCAGTGGAAATATAAGGAGGAGATGGTTAAAAAACATTTAGGAGGCACAATCAACAGGATTTTTTTTTAAACAACTGGATGTGGAAGGGAAGGGAAAAAAATTGATGATTTTGAGGTTTCTAGGTGAGATGACTGGTGTGTCATTAACCAAGACTATAAAACACTGGAGGGAGCAAATTTGAGATAAACGTGGTTTGGGTCACAATGAATTTTGATGGTGTTGCCAGCCATCTTCCGTTGCTTTTTCTTCATAGCATTTATTACCATATGACATATTATATATTTACATGTTTATTAATTTATTGCCTGTCTCCACACCCTCCCACAGCCTACAAATTTAAGCTCCACGGGGGAAGGAACCTGGTCTGGTTTTGCCAGAATCTAGACGGTGGCATGTACTAGATAATAAATGTTTGTTGGATGAATAAATAAGGTAGTGGCTTTATTTTTATTTAATCATCAAAACAATCCCGAGATTTTACTCTCATTGTACAGATGAGGAAACTGAGGCCTTGACAAGTTAGACATATATGTAATATCATAATTTGCCTAGAGTCATGAACTCCAGCACAGGATATATTTGATTCCACACTTTTCTAACTGCAATGCCCATATCACAAGTAGGTAGAGCAGCAGGCCAAGGAAGAGGGAGAAGCAAGCCCCCTGCTGAGCTGAGCAGGGAACCTGACGTGGGACCTGATCCCAGGACACTGGGATCATGACCTGTGCTGAAGGCAGACACTTAACCAACTAAACCACCCAGGCTCCCCAATGATCATAGTTTCTAAATGGAGATGAATATACATAGCATTTTGAGGTATCTATCATGACCGCAATATGCGATGAGAATATTAGAGAAAAAAATCACAGGTACTGCTATTACTACTATGGTTTGTTGTCCATATTCATGATTGAATAAAGGCTAATTTTCAGTCTGAGATTAATAATGGTATAATTTTTTCCCCCCAGCTAAGGTCAAACTCCCTGAATTATATCGTTTTTGGGACCATAGACTTCAGATTAACAACCCCCCGATTCTGGTAGAGGAGGAAGAGGAGGAAGAAAAGAGATGATAAAATCAAGTCTGAGCTACTATGAATGAACTATTAATTGTTTGTTGATGTAACCCCAGTTGTCTAGAACAGTCCTGGCACAATAAATGTTTATTGAATAAGTTCAGTTCAAATTCTAACAAATGATTACCGTGTACAAGATACTGTGTTATATTCATTATAAGATGCAAATCATTAGGTATTTTCTGAGCACCTACCATGAACCCAGTGTTGTCTGGATGCTGTGATGGAAGAAGTGATAATAACAGCTAACATTATGGTACGCTTTCCATATGCTAGAATTTGTTAAGTGCTTTTGATATGATTTTTCATTTAAATTTCACTGAATCCTCATAACATCCTTTGAGGTGGGTGCTATTCAATCCTTTGTTAAGTGCTTTTGATATGATTTTTCATTTAAATTTCATTTAAATTTCACTGAATCCTCATAACATCCTTTGAGGTGGGTGCTATTCAATCCTCATGGTACAGATAAGGAGTCTGAAGCTTAGAGAATCAACTGTCTTGTCTAAAGTCATAAGCTAGGATTCGGATTTAGGTAATCAGAGTATAGAGTCTTAACTCTAATTACTACACTAGACTGCCTTTTTCTATTTAAAGATAAACTATTTGCCTCCAGGGAGTTACAATTTTGATGGTAAAGGTTAAAATTGCAGCTTTTACAGTTTCTTGAGCACAAGAGGAAGTTGGACACCAAGGAAGTCGAAAAGATCACCTAGGTAGAGAATATAGCATGAGAACAGGACAGACTAAGATTACATCTTGAGGAACTCACACACTTAAAGATCAGGTGAAGAGGCTGATTCCATGAAGGAGACTGCAAAAGAACAGCCAGAGAAGTAAGAGTAAACTAGGAAGAATGTGGTGTTAGCAAATCAAGGAGGGACTGGTCAACAGTGTCAAAGGTACTTAAGTTCAAATACAATGGAAATGGAAAAATGCCATTGGATTTGGTAATACAGGAGCCACCAGTGATCTTGAAACTGTTTTGTGCAGAACAGGTGGATACCAATATCTGAACCTCTTACTTGGACCCAATTAATATTCATCTCTTGCCACCTGACTTCTACTTTATACAGTAGAGTAGCATCATCTACACTTTAACTTATTCTAGCTCAACTATATGTATTCATGACATATATGTCACATATGACTAATTCCACTGGCCACTCCATCCCATGAGTTTATGCCAGTGGTAGTGGAAGCAGTGTAAAGTGGGAGACCATGAATGTCTTCCCTCAGTCATTTTCAGATTCTTTATGTCTCTTTTAGCACAAGCACTTTGCTACGCTGAATGTGGTTCTAGTGTTTAAAGATACAGTATGCATTTTTCATATAACATGGCCCCTAAATGCAAGCCAACTTCATCTGGTTTTCAAACAGAACCAGCCATTTGCTTCACTGCTGGAAGAAAAAGCAGGCTGCACCGAACTTATTGTGATCGTACACGATCTCCAACGCAGTGCCTCCTAAGAGACTTCTTAGGCTAATTTTGACTATATTCAATGTTTAGAATAGGTACTGACATTAGAACTAGTTTAACATGACACGCTGAATAGAGAAGGGAACGTCTATGGACTTTGGGGGTGTGGGAGTCCCAGGCAAGACGGGCTCTACTCTAGATATAAAGTATTTTTTCTGTTGAATTCTCTATCCTCCTAGATTCTGGAGGCAGCCTAAGCTCCTGTACTTACTTGACCCTGCCTTGTTTATTCTGAACCTAACTTCTGCCTGTCCGACTTCAGTACTTCCAGTTCCTGCATCCTGCTCCATCTAAAATTCTGATTTACTGGAAAAAGGCAAATACAGCAGATACTTCAAATGAAAACTAAAATTACTATTAAACTGTTTTCTAGAAATCAGTTATATTAATTTTAACACATCTTGAAATATACACTTAAATTTTATGCTTAAAGGGAACTGTATCTTATTTTTATTTTGTATTGTGTAGGGTATACTAAAGACCAAGCATATAAAAACTGTTCAATGCACATTGGTGCAGTACACCACATCTCCCCACTTCTGCATAATTACACTAAAACAATGCAGCTGAACAAGAGAAAAATAGAAATACAGATAGGTTATTCCATCTGCAAAAATAAATGAGGCTACACAATAGTAACAAAAACCAAAATCAGTCCGCTCCTCTTTCCCAAGTGCTAGGGGGATCCTTGGTGTTTCAGACTCGAGCAATTTGGAAGCAAGAAAATCCTGCCCTCTGCTGCTGAGTTAAGAAAAAGGCCTCAGCCCAATTAATCACTTTTGTGAAGGGCAAGTTATAGTCTGAGCAAAACACTGGTGAAAAGTCAGAAGGTGAGCAAAGTAAATGCTTTCCTGGATTTTTAACTCCAGGCGATCCTAATTTCTCAACAGCTTAAACACTCACGCTGGCATTCAACATTAGGCAAAGTCAATTGGGTTTCAAAACCAGGAAGTTTTGTTTTGTTTCTCTTTCCTCATTATTTCTCCCTCACTAGCCATAACCCACGTTACAGAGGTTACCAGGCGGTATTGCAGTGATGTGGGGAGGCCTGGAATCGGGGCGTCCGAGGGTGGTCCTGGGTGGGGCTGCCAGGCCCGGACTGGACGCTGAGCTCCAGGTTGCATGGGCGCACAGCCTCTCCGCTTCCGGCGAGCAGTAGTCCCAGCCCCAGCTCTGTGGGTCCCGCAGGCCGGGGTGTTTGCTAGGGAGGAATGGGGACGTTTACCTGGTGCCGATCCCTACCAAGTAGGTGTTGGTGCCCTGCAGGGTCATGGGTCCCGGGTTACAGCCCAGGACGCGCACCACCCGACTGGACAGCCGCTCGACGCGCTGCAGGACAACCGACATATCTGCTTCTGCAGCCCGCCGGCGCGCGTCGACTCGAGCGCGGAACTGGTTATTAGGCCCGTGCGGGGGAGGAGGCGGGGCGGGGCCGGCAGTCGCCTGACGTAGCGTGACCGGGGCGGGAGGGGAAAGCGCCGGCCATGCTGGGGGCGGGGCCAGAGGTCGCCTGATGTGGCCCGGGCTCCTTGGGCGGAGGCGGCGGGAGGGCGGGCGAGAGCGCGTGGCGGTAGGCGTCTTGAGGCGAGGTTGCATTCGCTTGGCCGAGCGCCGTCGCCTGTCACAGTCTGGTGCCTTCCCACAGGAATTTGTGGCGGAGTTCTTCCCAGTGGACGAGAGACATTTTAACCTGGGAAGTCTTGTGGAGCACAGGGCAGGCAGGTTTGGGGTTAGTTACGGAACACTAAATCCTGGGAAGGATGGCTTGTTTTTAGGCAATGGCGATGTGTGTGTGTGTGTGTGTGTGTGTGTGTGTGTGTGTGTGGAAACCTGTTTTGTCTTTTATAATAAGTAGGGGCAACTAGTATTTCCTTAGTGCTTACTGCCATGCTAAGTGCTTTTTCTAAACACTCTCATTTAATCCTGGCAACAACATGAAGAGGAAGACACTCTTTTTATGTCTGTTTTACAAATGAAACACGGAGATTTGGAGACTTGGCCAGGTGACAGCTGTGTGAACCTAGCTCAGCGTCTGAAGCCTTGTTCCTAGCTGCCTTGCCCCAACACTTCTCCCCTTCTCGTTAGATTCAAGGAGCTTGCTGCTCCCTCCTTGTGCTTTGTTCCTGCCCAGAGACCTAGATCGGCCTTGAGGAGTTTCGTCCCTAAGATAGGAGTTATTTTCTCCACGAGGAGTCCTTTTCTAATCTGCTAAGCGTGGACTATCCCAGTATTACCCGTCCCTATTAAACAACAACAACAAAAACGATTTACAATTTACCTGAAGGAAATCCTATGATCCATTTCATTGAGTTAGGATAGTTGTCTGTAAGCTACCTCAAAAGAGATATAGGACATATCCACTGTCCCAACAAGTGAGAAATCTTTTTTTTTTTCCAAAACAAGTCTTTTTCAAAACAAGTGAGAAATTGACACAGATACTTGTGGTTCTAAAATTTAGGAAACATATTTTAACACTTTTTTGCAGGTATTTCTGAAGAAAAGACTATTAATTTGTACAGTACTTATTTTACAAATCATTAGTTTAATATTCCAGATTTCTTGAAAGACACACCTGTTTTATGTGTGACAAATTTTTTTACCTTGTGTCTCAAAGATGTACTTTTTTTTTTTTCAAAGATGTACTTTTAATGGAAAAATGTTTCAAAAACCTTTGCTGAAAGGGCAATATGCCCTTTTAAAAATGTTTGGAAGAACCATCAAAATTCCCCACATCAGGCATTTTCAACTCCCAGTTTTATTTATTCGTAGCCATCACTTAATGGCTATTCAGCCAGGAAGCTACCCCCATTTTCCTTTTTAAAAAACCTTGTGCTGGAAAGTCAACAAACCTTTGAGAAGAGGGTGGAACAGTAATTTCTGGGACTTGTGGGCAGTTCCATTCTTTTATCCCTTGACTTTTTGTTTTAATGTAGAATTTCCCTTGTGGCTTCCATCTCTCTTTCTTTTAATTCATTGCCAAGCTCTTCATCTGCCAAATGGACCCAACAAATAATTTAAAACTTAAGTGACTTCAGTTGAGTCATACAAGGAGCTACTGACAGAAGAGGGGGAAGAGAGGTTGGGTAGTGAACTTGGTTTAAACAAATTGAAATTGGGATGATTGTGGGATATACTGGTAAAGAAATCGATAGACATTTGGATATATATGGGTTGAGCTCAGAAGAGAGATCTAGGCTGCTAATACAAAATTGTCTTTGTGGATATGTTTAGTAATGTGACTTGAAGTTTAAGCTCTTCTCTAAGAAGTAAGAGGAAAGATTTTGGGCAACTCTCTTGGGTCCCCTCCCTCTTCGGGAGCTTTGTATTGCTCAATAAACTTTGCTGCCCACCAAAACCCCCCCCCAAAAAGTAAAAAAAAAAAAAACAACAAAACCAAACCCCAAAGATTTTATATTCTGATCAGTTGTATTTATAATCATTTATCATCTACCTACAGTATGCACAGTATTATTGTAGACATATGGGGGGTGTTAAAATGATAGTTGGCTTTCTAGAGTCTTATAACCAGAAAGGAGACGTACATTATGTTATTTTAAAGTACCTGTGAGTAAATCCTAGAGAAGTATAGCTGAAGTGATAGGATTGCAAGGAGGAAGGGGAGAATCAAATTAATTGGGAATATCTGGAAAAGCTTAAAGGTTGTGGGGTTTTGAGCTCACTCTTAAAGGACTGATAGAACTTGATCAGGTAGGTGGAGGTAGGAAGAGCATTCTAGACAATAAATAATCTTGAGAAAAGGCTTGGAAATAGAACAACTGTAGTATTTATTTTGGGAACAGAAACCAACAATCATGTCCTTGGGGCATAGGGTTTAAGAAGGTATACAGTTTGAAAAAGGTAGGTAGGATTAAGTTAAAAATACTTTGTAAATTATCAGAGTACTTCAAATGTCAGAATCTCTCTTTCCTTTTCAAACACTTGTTGTCTGCTTGGATATGCAGTGAGGCAAATTGTATTTTCTTAAAACTTAAATTTTGAGGGGCGCCTGGGTGGCTCAGTCAGTTAAATATCTGCCTATGGCTCAGATCATGATCTCAGGGTCTTGGGATCGAGCCCCACGTCAGGCTCTCTGCTCAGCTGGGAGTCTGCTTCTCCCTCTCACTCTCCCTCTGTGCTCTCTCTCTCTCTCAAATAAATAAATAAAATCTTAAAAAAAACCTTAAATTTTGAATACAGTAAAACCTTGTAACCTAGTCAACCTATGAGAGGAGAAGTTATTCCTTCTCCTAATGTGATAGTTATAAAGGGGTGTACTGTACTTGCAATGATACAAACTCTCTTATCACTAGATGAGAAAATCCCACATATGACTAACAGCTGATTTCAGTTTCATTTTAGTATTCGTTCTTAAAGGTTTACATGCCCTTTAATGATAACTTGTTTTCAGTGAAGGAGAAATAAAAGATTCCCAGGATGAAGATTTTCCAGAAGAGACTTTTAGTTAAAGAAGGCTTTTATACTTGACAAGTAAGTCTGTATTTTTTGTGTGTTGAATTTGGTTGACAAATGAAAGTTTGCTAGTTTTTACTACTTCAAACGTCTGCTTTATTACAAAGAGATCATGTACAGTGGACAAAGGTTATGTGTCTTGGTTGCCAGCCAGTTAGCCATGTAGCTGGGTTGACCTCTCAATGAAGCTGGATTGAAACTGTCCTATTAAGTCAGCAAGTGTCACAAATTCTTTATAAAATGAAATTTTATAGGTATTATTATTTCTCCTAAGGTGATAATTGGAACAGTGATTAACTGTAGGGAAAGAGATGAACTAGCCTTCATACAAGTTACAGAACTATGTGGTTATTGAAAGAGGTGTGGGCCTTCTTTATGAGAGCTGCTATATTTATTTCCTTGCTGTGTAGTTTTCTTTCCGGTTGGCATTATGTTCTGCTTGACTAAATTAGGAATAGAGATGTTGCCACTTAGTCTAGTGAATCTCATGTTTTGCTAATAATGGAATTTCCAAGTTTCTTAGAAATTATTTTTCTCATCTTGTAAATTTATTTCAAAACTGCTAGTGTTTTCCATATCCATGCCAGGTAAAGGAAACTCTCTTTTTGGGGAGAATGGTTAAGAAATATACACATGGAGTGGAGTGCTTAGGTATTATAGTCTGTAGTGTTAAGGAAATTATCTACATTAAAATCAGTTTATTTTTTTATTATTATTATTTTTTAAAGATTTTATTTATTTGACAGAGAGAGAGAGCGCACAAGCAGGCAGAGCAGCAGGCAGAGGGAGAGGGAGAAGCAGGATCCCTGCTGAGCAGAGAGACTGACATGGGGCTTGATTCCAGGATCTGGGATCATGACCTGAGCTGAAGGTAGTCGCTTAACCGGGTGAGCCACCCAGGGACCCCTAAAATCAGTTTACTCATTAGAGATAACTCATCTAAATACCCAATATCTCTAAGCCTCAGTGTTTTGCTCAATAATACCCTTCTCATAGAGATTTGTGAGGATTAAATAAAATGTATGTAAAACACTTCACACATAGTAAACACTCAGCAATGATAGCTACTGTTATTACTATTTTTCCATTATATATGTGATGTTCTTTTCCCTCTCTAGATAGTGAAGCTTAAGAAATTATACTTTTTTAGAATGATATTAGAACAGGACTTGGATGCACATTAAACACATCCAGTATAACCATGGTAAGGAATTTGCCAATATTTTGTAGAACTTTCGTTTCTGGAGGACATATTTGAAATATAGTACATTTGATTTTCAAACTAGCTGTTCTTTATATCTGGAAAGCTTTTCCACATGATATCTACATGACTAATTTCATTACTTATATGCCATCCTCTCAGTGAGTCCTGTCCTGACCATTCAAGACCTGAGCTGAGATCAAGAGTCAGACACTTAACTGACTAAGCCACCCAGGTTCTCTCTGTCCTGAACATTCTAATTAAAATTGCAACTCATGATGTGCCTGTCTCTACTTCCAACTCCTAGGGTTGTTTTTTCCATAGCACTTATCACCTTCCAATATAATATATATATATATTTTAAAGATTTATTTATTTATTTATTTGA